GGTCTGAGAGAGAGGAGCTGAGTGTGTCTCACAGGTCCTGTGTGTTACTCTAGAACAGCACCAGTGTTATTTCCTGTGTCTCTGTACAGACTGACAGATGAGTCTTGAGGTTTGCGGTGGCTGTTTCCTCTCTGCGTGTGAGTGTGCTGGTCTCGGCCCAGTAGTCTTGTCAGAGGCCTGGTTCCCAGCGCAGCAGCTGGGTTTCCTGTGTGGGTGTGACCCCTCCTCTGACCCTCCTCTCTCCTCTGCAGGTGTGAGCCCCAGTACAGCCCCGCCCCCCGATCGCCGCAGTCCATCGCCTTCCCACGCCTCCTCTTCCTCAGGTACGGCCGCCCCTCCCTCGTCCTCTGCAGCTCGAGGTGTGGTGTAGGGCAATAGGTCCAAATCCCAGTGCCATTGCACATAGCCCGAGCCGCTCCGGGTTTTCCATTGCTCTCTGCCAGACTCCTGGTCCGCTCTGGCCGGAGCCGCTCCGGGTTTTCCAGAGCTCTCCTTCAGACTCCCAGAGCAGCTCGGGCCAGACCACACCAGGTTTTCCATTGCTCAATTCAATTCAAGGTGCTTTATTAGCATGACCGATGGGTACAATCAGTGTTGCCAAAGCAAATGGACCAGGAGTCTCTCTGCCAGACTCCTGGTCCGCTCTGGCCCGAGCCGCTCCGGGTTTTCCCGGCTGCAGGCTTCCTGTACAGAAGTCCAGACTGGCTGCTGCAGTGTTCAAGCTGGTAACCTGGCCAGTGTGCGGAGAAGTGAAGATCTTTCTCTGCAGCTCTGAGCCGTCGCGCAGATGGGCTGGGTCACCAGACTGAGCCGCCGAAATGCCTGTGTCTCTGTGCAGTGACCAGTATCTCCTGACCTGGACGGACTCGGCCATCTACATCTTCGTGCCCCAGAGCGCCCAGGTGCTGCTGTGGACCGAGGTCAAAGGTCAGAGGCTCGTCTCCCCCCCCCCGAGAGTGGGATAATGTCTGTTCCCTGAAGTTGCCCGTGCACCCGTCTCTCTCTCCTCGCGGCGGCGCCCCGATCCCTGTCCGTGCCCTCGTCTCCGTCCGGCATTTTCCGATCGGCTTGTCGGGGCTCGTGGGGAGGGGGGGGATCGGGGCGGCGGCTGGAGAGTGACCTTCCGCCGACCTCTCTGTGACCCCGGCAGATCTGGCGGACGTGGCCGTGGTGCGGAGCGAGCTCTTCTGTCTCCACGGCGACGGGCGGCTGTCCCACCTCTCCTTCCTGCCCGTGGAGCGCTGCGTGGAGAGGCTCCTTCGCCGGGAGTCCTGGGTGCTGGCGGCCACGGTCTGCTGCCTCTTCCAGCACTCCATCGCCCCCTGCAGGGTGAGAGCGGCACTGCGGGCTCCCTGCGCCCGGCCCTGCTGGCACGGTTTGCCCCGCCTCCCCGATTCCTGAGGGGGGTGGAGATCTAATCCTGTCTTTGCCAAAAGAGCATTTTGCTTCTGTATTTGAACGTGCTATTCAATATAATATCACTTTATGAACCCTTTACAAATTCTTGCATTAGGAATTTGTCTTTTCACATACCCCAGCTTGCTCCCCATGAAACACAGACAGGGAGAGAAGCTGGGGGTCAGAGCGCAGGGTCAGCCATTGTACAGCACCCCTGGAGCAGTTGGGGTGAAGGGCCTTGTTCAGGAGCCCAACGGAGTAGGATTCCTCTGCCGGCCGCGGGATTTGAACCGGCAACCTTCCAGCCACAGGCGCAGATCCTGAGCCACAGAGCCACCACACCGCCCCATAAGAGGACTTGCGCTGGTGCCTTAAACACAAACCATCAGCAGTTGATCAGAGCTGCAAGACCAGAGTTCTTGTGTGGCGCAAACTCGTGGAAGACAGCTATGTCGTGTGATTTAAGGAAACAATCCCCCCCCGGGTTGTTTCCTTCCTCACCGAGCCCTGCTGTTCCTCAGGCCCGGAAAGCCCTTCCCATGGAGAGGCTGGAGCACCTGAAGGCCCAGCTGGACGGCTCCGCCCACCGCCACCTGATTGGCCAGCTGGAGGAGGTGATGTCGACGCTGGAGCCCGTCGACTCCGCCTCCAGCAGCAGAAGGAGCAGCATCTCCTCCCATGTGAGTCCGACCTGCCCCCTCTCTCCCGGGGCGCTGCCGGGTTTCGGAGATGGCGCAGAACGCGAGCTCTGAATTGTGTTTTGTTTTCCCCCCGCGCTCCAGGAGAGCTTCAACGTGCTGGACTGCGGAATCTACCGGGTCATCAGCCGGAAGGGCAGCCAGTCAGACGAGGACACCAGCTCCCTGGTCAGCCAGTCCCTGTCGGAGGAGGAGCGGCTGAGAGAGCTTAGCTCCGCCCAGGAGGAGGAGCCGATAGAGCAGGGTAAGGGGTAGCCATGGAAACGGTGCCGCGGAGGCGGGGCTTGGTGGCTGCGTGGAGGAAATGTTACCTGTGAGGCTAGATGACATCTCGGTGTCTCCCGTTAATCTGGAGGTGTGATCTCCCTGTGTTTTAAATTAAAGCATTAAAGAATTAAAGCGAACATCTCATTGTAGTGTCCATTGCACCCTCATTGCTGGTACTGTTGCTCTTTGTGCACATTCAGACGCTGTTTATTTACTTTATTTACTTCACCTGTCTGTTCAACAAGTGATTTGCCTTTGGTGTGTGTGTGTGTGTTTTTTTTTTTTACATCTGTCATCTGTGTTTGCCTGCCCCCCTCTCGTGTCCCTGTGCTCTCTCCCTCCATCCTGCCATCTCTCCATCTCTCCGTGTCCATGTCTACCCCCCCATCCCCTCCGGGCTGTGCGTCCTGTCCCCCAGAGCCCCAGCCCAGCGACGGCGCCGAGACCGACCGAGCCGAGCCCGCCCTGCAGTTCCTCCCCCTCTCATTCCGCCCCAAACCCCCCCGCGCCACGCTGCAGGCCGTCAGAGACAGGTAAGGACCCCCCCCCCTCACCCCCCTGGCTGGGGGGGCCGCGCTGTCTTCACCCCCTCTCCCGCCGCCGCTGCTGTCGGGTTTGGATCCTGTCGCTGTCCGGCGGCTGTGGTCAGCGAGGAGCTCTGGGATACGGCCCCCTGGCGTTAGTCCTGCGCGCTTGAGGGGGGAGGGAGGGAGGGCACTGGTGCGAGCGTGAGGAACAGCCCGGCGACTCTCGATCGTGCACGTCAGGCCCCCTGCGGTGCGCCCGGCGCCGTGAGCCCGCCGAGGGAGGGTGGCCAGGCCTGCGGGCGGGCAGGTTTCTGTCCTGCTTGGGGGGGCCCCCACTCGGAGAAGAAGCACCCCCCCATTAGGACCTGTAAGAGCTGAGCGGGGGGGGGGCTCTGAGGAGCCAGCTCTGGCCGAGACGCTTGTCTCGTGTCCCCCCCCCTCCCCGCCGAGCCGTTCCTCCTCCCATCATGCCGCGCTCCGGTCACGTGACCCGGGTCTGGCGGTGGCTGAGCGAGCACAGGCCCAGAGACAGCTGGCCTCGCTTCTGCTTTTCTCCAGCACGCCGTCCCCGGGGAGGGAGGGGGGCGAGAGAGAATGAGAGAAGTGAAAATCAGAAACGGGGCTCGCTGGGAGCTCACAGGCGAGCGAGAGAGAGAGAGTCTCCACCCTCCCTCCCTCCCCGAGGCTCAGACAGCCGGGGCTCGGCTCGGCTGGGGTCGGGCTGCTCTTTTCCGGTGGGCAGGAGCTGCGCCCTCGCAGGTAAGGGAGCTGCTGTGCCTCCTCTCACCTGGCCGTCTGTCCGAGACCGCGCTCGAGGGGGGGCGGGGCGCCTCCTCCCCGGTCCTCCCTCTGCTCCCCCTGGGCGGGATGGCGGGGACAGAAGCACGAGGCCGACACGGACGCGGTCTCCGTCGTTCCTCTCGGCAGGGGCGAGCACGCTGGGGCTCGCGTGTGTTTAAGCAGAGCAGTTCCTTCCTCTGCAGTTGCTGTCCTTGGGTGGAGTTTGAAACGAGCCGTTTGTTAGCTTCAGGTCGTTCAACCTGTGACACGTGATCATTGAGCTGCAGCGTCTGCTGTGAAGCTTGTACCGTACTTTTACAATGGTATATCCTGCTGTAGGAGAACTAGCACAACGTACTTTCGCTGTAGCGTGTTTTTTTTTAACAGGATTTATCTTACTGGGACTGTAGCCCCTACTGTAACAGGACTGTCCTGCTGCACTGGGACTGTAGCTCCTATTGTAACAGGACTGTCCTACTGCACTGGGACTGTAGCCCCTACTGTAACAGGACTGTCCTACTGCACTGGGACTGTAGCTCCTACTGTAACAGGACTGTCCTACTGTACTGGGA